GAGCCTGGGGGTGCCCTCCCTGGACCCTCACCTGCCAGCCCTTCTCAAGCCAGAGGCCAGACCCACAGTCTGCCCCCTCGGCCTCCCCCTGGTTGAAAGGTCTTCGTTGCTCTGCCAGGGGGCTTTTTTCTGCCCCCTTCTCTCCTGATGCCACCCACCCAGCCCCCCTGCCTGCCTCTCTCGCCCCCTTGTCCTTTCCTAGTGCTCTTGAAAAGTAATCATAATCATAATAATTAATAACAACAGAGCCCATGGCAGGCCTGAGGCAGCTCTTAAAGAGGCAGCGCCCCATTTTCTCCTGGCAGAGCTGGTGGGATCTCGCAGGGCTCTGAGTGTCGGCCTGTGCCTCTTTGTTCACGTCCTCCCTCTGTCTGGGGTTGGAGGCTGGTGTTGGGGCGAGGATTTTTGCCTGCGTTCTCCATCAGGCACTGGGCTTCTTGTATTTTAATTGAACTGTCTTTTCTTAGAGATAGATGCTTTCACTGCATCCAGCTGCTCGTGTGTATTGGGAAACCCGCCTGCAATACAGCTCGGCTAAATTAAAAGACGCAGCAGCTGGACCGATTAAACAGGGAGGGAGAGATGCGGATGGAGCAGGCAGGGAGGGGACACCAGCCATGGCACCCTCTCTCTCGCACTCTCTGTCTCTTCCTCTCACTCCCTTTAAATAATGTTTCTGGTAATGCATTTTGGAGAATGTGAAAAAAAATAAAAAATAAAAAAAGCCGTAGAAATGTTAATGACATCCACAGGACACTCAGCAGGAAATGAGAGTGATCTGGGACTAATAAAAGCCGAAATGTAATTTGTGCAGATATACGAGGCACAGCCTTCAGAGTGGTCCTGGGTTTGCGCATTCTGGGCTCATAAACACATGCCGGGGAGGGCAGGGAGCGGGCGTGGTGCCCTCAGCCTGCAAGGCCTTCCTTGCTGGGCGGCCTGGGGCCGAGGGGGCCACGCGCCCCGGCAGCAGTCTGGCCGGCGCCCTTCTCTGCGGTGGTCGGGGCAGCAACGCGGGGCTGCCCACCTGGCAGGGAGCCACCAGGCCAGAACCAAGCGCTGTCTCCAGCTCCTCTGGGTCGACGCGTCACAGCAGGCACCTCCTGTAATGTTTTATCTGAGCCGCCAGGGGTGGGATTGAAGTGGGTCAGAAGGGCGGGCGCGCTTCTTGTTAGGGATGCCAGTGACAAATCCAGGGAGAGGAGGGGAGGCGGGAGGGGAGGCAGCTTTGACAAGCCCGGTGGGACAGTGGCTGGCCCCCACACTCCACTGGGCACAGGGCAGGCTGACTCCAGAGGGCAGGGGAGGCACTCGGCCCTCTGGGACAGGTGGGCAGGGGCTGTGCTGCCAGGCTCCTGGGGGCTGTCTGGCTGCCCTGGGCTTGCCCTCCTCTGTTCCCTTCCCCGGGTCGTCCTCAGACACTGAGTGAGGAAGGCATCTATGGTGTGGTCTGGGCCAGAGGAGAGGGGGGATCTGGCCCTCCCTTCAGGGGCAGCTACCCCCGTTGTGCCCACGCCACGTCTTCCTGCCTCTTTCCCATTTCCTCCCTGTCTCTTTTGCCTCTTACCTCTCTGTGCCTCTCTCTCCCTCTCTTTATTCCTTCTTAACCCTGGAGCCTTTGTAGCCAGAGGCAGACCACCCCTTCCTCTTTCAGCTTTTGGAAATGAGCCCGGGAAAGTCCCCCCTCCCCTCCTGGGGTCCTGGGCCGTGCAGGTCGAATCAGGCCACCTTCTTCCTGCCTCTGGGCCAGTGTGATTCTGGGTAAATCCCGGGCCCTCTGGGACTCGGCCGATGGCCAGCCCTTCCATGTGATTCCTCTAGAGCTTGGGGCCTTCCTTTCTCTTCCATCCCTCCTTTGAGGGTCTTCTGGGGTGACCAGGCCAGCCAGTTCGGAGGAACCTTTAGCCTGGATGCCGAGGGCCAGCCTGTGTCGTGAATCCAGTTGCTCTGTCCTGAAAGGTCACCCCACCTCACCCCTGGTCATTTCCTGACCCAGGGTCCTGCATTGGGGCAGGTTAGACTCCGCTTGAGCCCCTGCCCGTAAAATCATGGTCAGATGGGCTCTTGGGTGCAACCTGCCCCAGCCCTGACCTGTGGAGGTGGGGAGGGGCCAACCAGGAGGGACAGGGTTGCGTCACCCCAGTGCAGGAGGGGCTGGGCTGGTGTGCTCTCCCGTGGCGTGGGACTGCGTCTCTCTATTAGTATGCGCTCCCTCACTCTGGGCCACGTAATCTGTTTATGCACCTATGATATCAAAAACAGGAGGCAGGTGCTGCGGTCCTGCGTTCCTGGGAGTCAGAGGAGGGGACGTTTTATGTCTACAGTGACTTGGCAGCCCCTAATCGACGTCTGCTAGAAGGAACAGACAGATTCCAGATGGCGTGGCAGTGCTAGAGGAGGTGTGTGTGTGTGTGTGCATGCATGTGAGTGTGCGTGCATACGTGTGTGCACACGCCTGTGTGTGTGTGAGAGCATACGTACGCCTGTGTGTGCGCTCGGCAGGGCTCAGCAAACAGCCTCCCCCGGGGCAGGGGCCGACCCTCCTCGGTCCCCAGCATGGCTGGGTCACGCTTGAACACAGCCACGCAGGGACTAGATTACAGGATCCAGCAGGCCCCAGGGAACGGGGAGCGGGAATTGCTCTGCTAAATGATTTTGAGCTGTCAGGAAGGGCTAGGAGTGGTGGGTGGGGGACGGCGGGGAGGAACCGGTG